ACGGAATCATTTCTTAAGAGGAGTTTTTGACTATGGTATGGTCAAAAACTCCTCTTTAGATACCTATAAAATAAAATTGGCTCTCTTTATAGATCTCTTTATAGTGGACCTCTGGAAATAAACCGAGACCCCATTCCGAAACTCGCAGCAGAAACCTCTCTTGTGGAATTCTTTTCCGAAAACGATCATTATCACCAGATTCAGCGTGGCTGAATACGTATGTTTCATGCGATTTTAATATCACCGGAAGTAACCGAGTACCAGTGCTGGGGCTCGAAAAAAATCCTATACCATACATGAACCCAGGGTCTCGTCTGGCATCGGTTCCGTAGGAAACACTTTGAGCTATCTATCCATGGAGAAAAATCAATTTATTTATGCTGTGAGTTTCAGCGTTAGGTCTCGGTTTTCCAGAGGTCCACCCTCCTCAATAGTTCGTGTAAACAACTGCAACAAGCATCAGGCACAAATTCAATACCCAGTTGCAGAGCGAAAAGAGTAAATATTTCACATAAAATATAAAGAGAGCCAGTTTTATTTTATAGGTATCTAGAATGTGGCCCACCATTAATTTTTAGAGGTGATTATAGCGATGTCCTCCAAGATAACGTAATAAAACAGCGCTTAAATTAGAAAAGGCATTAATATGCGAGTCCGGTTCTTCTATTTGGGATTCATAACGATTTCTTCCATCTTCATCGCGTCATGACGTTTTTTCTTTCTGCTTCGTTCTTTGTTTGTTGCATTCGGTCATAGAGTATGCAGATTAAATCTTTTTCTCGTTACAGAAAATCTTTGAACGACGTAAAAATAATGTTTTCTTAAATTCTTTCTGTTTGCTCTTGTTTAATAAAGGTACCGAAAAAAAAAAGAAAGAAGCATCTTTTTCATATTGCTCATTCATATTAAAAAAATACAGAGAAAATGTCGGGTTGGAGTAATTTCGATGGTAAATATATTGGAAATTTCCAACAATACCAACAGTTTGATAGTCAAAGAGCATCGTCGACTACTTCTGATACACCCACAACATTGGGTGAGATAAAAAATGAAAAATTACAAAAATGTCTTTCCCGTTGCGAAAATATGGTATTAACAAAAGAGGATGTTGATGTAACCCATGGCTTGTGGAGTCAAATATTACCGTTGCTGGGTACTCCACCAACAGCAGCAGCTGATCCTGTCGAACTCGATGCATATCTCAGCATGTTTCTAACTGGTGAAGGTCATATCATTAAAAATAAATTAAATCTACGTTTTGAAAGAACCAATAGCTTTGAAATCAACTTTGGTCCAATAATACAAAAAATAGGACTGCTATGGTGCATATCTAATGTAAATACTGCACTAGTCCCGACCTTTTTTGTAGGACTTTTATCTGGCACCATTTTCGACCTCTAAAACAACGATTAATTTAGCGCTTTTATCCCTTTTATCAGCTCGAAAGTCATACCCATAATTGAAAACTAAACAAAAAGATTCTTATCTTTTAAAATAAAGTCATTTAAAACGAAAAATAATATATTATAATTTAATCGCTATTTTATTACGTTATGTCGGACGTTTTATCTCGATAAAATTTATAAATGGTCTCTACGATGATACCTGTCGCTAAACATCCTTAAATGTTTTGAAATGATTTTTCATCGATCAAAAATGCTCACTGTTTTGCCACCTTTACAAATTAATAATATTTCGTTAGATTTTGTCAACGGACGCATTCATTTTGGTTTATATCTTACTAGAAATCTTGATTGGACTCTACATATTGACACATTGGTTTCTAAATGTGGCAAAACAGTTAGCTGTCTGAAATTTTTGAGCAGGACTTTGTCTGAGCACGCTCTCAATCTGACTTACAATGTATATATTCCAAGTTGTATCAATTATGCTAGTGTTAGAGAACACAGTTCATATACCCAGGGGAATAAAAAGTATCGAGTATTGGGCAATTTTACCTAGATAACCCAATCCAATACCCAATATACCTAGATACAAGTAAAACGAAAGTATTGAGTATTGGGCAATCCAAGCTAGCTGACCCAATACAGTAGTCAGTATACCTAGATAACCCTATATTTCACCCGATATATCTGGATGTTAGATCTAGATATTTTGTTGTGTTATTCGGCAATCCTACTATGAAGTAATCTAGATATATTGGGCATGGTATCTAGTGCATCGCGATATCGTCTCAGTATATTTTAAATTGCGCCGCAAAATGTTCAACCCAAACCCGACCCGAGCCGACAACATCTTAACCCGAACCCAGCCCGACAGCATCTCAACCCCTTAATTTCGGTTTTCACCTAATATTAAAAAATTCACTATTCACTTAAAATACATCTATGAGAATGAGTTCTAAACTTGAAATGTGGTTAATTTTCTCCGCTAAACGTGTTTATAAGATAGAAAAAATCGAAAAATCATATTTTTAGTAATGAGCTTTCCAAAAACCTTTTTGAAAAATCTAAGGAGTTTTGCCAAATTTCTTTTGAGATCTACTGTAAATAGGATATAGAATAGCTTAAATACTCCACATTCTGAAGTTTGGAACTCGTTCTGATGTAGTTTTGAGTGAATAGAGAAGTTTTTTAATATTAGGTGAGAACCGAAATTTTCGTAAAACTCAGTTTTCGGTAGACTTTTAGAACTACTTCTAACAACAAATATTGCCGTGAAACTTAACATGATCGACTACCTAGAGTCCATCCATTTTCAAGGCTACCAATAGTCACCCGGTGCCAGTCCAGGGGCTCGTAGAAAATCTGACACAATATCCGAGCAGGGGAAAATCAAGGCCTCGCTTGACTCTCCTTTTGAAGAGAACATCTCGGGCATTATCAGTTCATGGTAGAAAATCAATACAATCCTATTGAACACGTTTTACACACGAACTGGTTTTCCAAAGCTCAACTAGAAACCTCTTTCAAAAACTCTCTTCTTGATACGGTTTTGCTTATGAAAACATGCCCCCAAGTCTGGTGTTTCCCGTGGAGAAAGCCGGAGCTATAGCGAAAGTTATACAAAAAATGACCGCGGCCACTGTTCATTTGGACAAATAATACGTAAAAACAAAAATAGTACAACGTCTCTTTCTATTAGCATGCAGAAAATTGTGTGTGAGTGTGTTGTGTACGCTCTTTTTTACTTAATAATGAGTGATCATCTGTTCTGAAGAATATTTTCTTTTGCACTGTAACCTTTTCACTCAAGAAGGTCAGTTAATCTCTCTTCTTTCGCTGTATGTTCATAGATATTATCTGTTCTCATTTCTTTTCGTTGTTTTTTAGGCCAGTTTGAAGAGATATAATATACTTAGGGCAGTCAATAAATAACGCTTTTTAAACATTTAAAAGAAAAGAAAAGATTTTTTTTTTAACTTTTATTTATTTCATGTTCAAAATAATCCCCTTTAAATTTTATGCATAATTTCATTCT